TGCCTTTATGCAAAACCAATCGCAATCCTTGCTATGAACCAAATGTATAATCCTTGTACTTATATTGGGTAAGTCTTGTTGAGTACAATTGAGTGCTCACCCTATAATTATTTCAGTCTTGCAGGTATCTCTGTCCTAGCTATGTATTCTCCTATGTAGCTGAGTCTTTGAGGATCAGGAGTGGTAGGAGATGTGGTGTTGTGTAGATGCATGGAAATGGCACACCCATGCATTGTATCTTAAACTTATGCTATTTTCATAAAAGATTTCCGCTGGTGTACTCTGTGGCGATGGTCTGATGACTAAATTTGGAACAACTTGTAAACCTAGTGTACTACTTCTAATGTGATGTAAACTTGTTGTATATTCTAATGATCCTTTCCATTCGCATGATCCTAGATGAAGGTTGGTTTAGTACATCATATGGGTGGTGTACCGAGATTACCAATTAAGTTTATCTAACTAATGATAGTCAATGGAAAACTATTTAGTTAGGTAGTCTACTTAAGAGGGAGGTGATCCTGATAGGTAGTCCTAGTCACCACACCACAACATGTTGCTCCTCCTTGCAGCATTTAATGTAGGAATCGAGGAGCCGAGGATCACACTTAACTTATGGCCAAGTATACTCTTCTTCTGCATTTCTTCGTCAACTTGTTCTTTGAATTTTGGAGTGCTCTGTTCATAGACATTAGTCATTTTATGCCACAAGTGTAACCATACGAACTTTACTCTACGAATACATGAAATTAAAGTATTCAATACATGACCAACCTGATCGATCATAATCAATCACATGCCCGCAAAAGTGACCTATTCCCAAGTTCTGAAGGCACCACGCCACAATGGAAATTTACTGCCGGGGCAACACGCCTCTTCTTTTCTTTCTCCTTTTGCATCAGTTTACGCCAATGAGACTTAGGTCCATAGAGCCACTCTCTGAAGTGACACTTCCAATATCTGTGTTCAACAAGTTGATACATAAGTAATTCCATACATACAACTACAAGTTATCAAGAAAAATGGGTTTACTTAATTTTTGTTACCACGCTCAAACTGTGGGGCAACAAAAGAAGATGCAACCATAGTTGAATCTCCGCATTCACACAAGGGTGGGTTGTCAAGTCGCTTGGAGGCGGCTTTGTTCTTCTCCTTGTCCGTCATCGGCAGAGGGTTCGGGGGTGGTGGAATCCACTGCTTGAACCTCTTGTATGGAGTCGGCGATGCCCAGTGTTTGAAAAGGAGGAACCTAGGGTCAAACTGTTCAGACCTGTCGATTCACTAAAAGAAATAGCACCTCTCCTCATCCAACGAAAGTTAATACCACCATCATATCGGGAATTAAATTAGGAATATAAAAGAAACAACATCAACAATTTACAAAGGATTACTTACACGACAATCACGTCATGTGTAGTAAGCCCATGTAGCATTATCCGGATTAAAGATGGCAGCAGGTACCCGAAACCCGAAACACGAAACCTGTTGGGGTTTTGCTCTATTAGGGTAAGGGTATGGGTGAATTTCTCTACCCATGGGTTTGTTTCTGGGTAAAAAGCTACCCAACGGGTTTGCGGGCGTGGGTCTGGGAGTGTAATACCCATACCCGTAAACCCATGGGTTTTTTAAACCCATAAACTTGTACATTAGGCAATCATAAACATTTGTGAAAATGAAAGGAAAAACTAAGAAAGAAAATGGCTAGTCCATGTTTAACTACATCGCGCTGCAATTATGGGCTTTGATATCACCGTAGCCCACTTAGCCAAACAGATTTTGGCGGGATAGGGACAAGGTCACAGGGCCAGCACACAGCAACGATTGGTTTCGTTGCTAAAAAACAACGATTGGTTTTGTCCCACCTCGTGAAGCCACACATCCTGCCTCCAATCCGTCTCCTGGCATGTCAAGAGCGGTAGAAATGGAAAAAATAAATTTTGCCAATGAAAATGTTTCATATTCGGCTATAGGTTTGGATATTAGTTGGATATATGTCTGATTAAACATGTTCAAATTAGGATATATTTGATTAAACATATTCAAATTATTTTTTAGAGTGTTCAATTTGACGGCTAGTTAGTGAGCATGGGCAACCCGTTGGGTACCCGTGACCTGAGTGGGTATGGGTTTGGGCACACAAATTGTATCTGTGATGGGTCATGGGTTTTTTTAATGGGTAGATCTTTTGTTCATGATCATGGGTTTGGGTTAGCAAAACCCAAGTGGGTTTGCGCCTGTTGCCATCTCTAATCCGCATGCCTCAATTCAACCACCTTGACTAGCTCATCCCAGTCTGATCACAGTCACATTTAGGTACTAGTAGTTCAGGATGGATATGTACATCCTTGCTAGACGCGTCCGGGTATAAATCTTTGGGACGATCCTTCTTTCGCCACTTCTCCCTACACCACATGTCTTCCATATTCAAAGCCGAGGCAAATAAATTAAATTCATTATCGTTGACCGCCAACACTTATCTACATTGCAACTAAGGACAAAAGTTATAATCTTGCCCAATTATATTACATCGTAGATTACTCTGAATTACAATTGAACAGTGCCATACATGAACCTTATGGTTTCTAATTCGTGACTACAACAACATCATATACCTTAGTTGATTGGGGCCTAGGGATTTAGGGTTTGATGAAGCCTCATACTATGAAACCCTAGACTCCACATAACCTAATATATATGTAAGGGACCGTGACGCCTAAGAGGGAGAGTGAATTAGGTAAATTAAAATTCTACTTCTAACTAAGGCCTCTAATTTCACCTAGTCAAAACCTATGTAGGAAAGTAATCTATCTAAATGTGTAACTACAGTTTTACTAGGTGTGTTGCTATCTCTACCGCAAAAGAATGATGCAACCTATGTTCCAGTCCTATCAACTAGCATATCAACTAAGCCAGGGAAGTAAAGCACACAACCAAGGTGTGGAAGGTAAAGATGAGGTAGAGATGCAAACTCCCGTCGACGACTCCGACATTTTTACCGAGGTATCGAGAAGCGCTCAAGCTTTCCCCTAGTCCTCGTTGGAGCCCCTCGCAAGAAATCCCTCACAAGGGCCAAGCTCCCAGTCGGGTAACTCCGTGGATAGCCCCGGGCCTTCTCCACGCGCAAGTAGGTCTCCGGTGTGCCTTCTAGCAAGCCTCTCCTGGACCGCTCCCCACTGTTTTCACTAAAAAGCTTCCGGCCGAACCGCCACGGGCCTTATTCCCTTCGATACACGGTGGCGGACATACCACAAACACGGTTGGTGTGATCTCACAAGACTACAAGCCCCTCCAATGTACTACAATGGTGCGTGCAAGCACCGAGTGATAAGTGATGTGCAAACCTCACTAAACACTATGCCTAAACCCAGAGCAAGCGCATAAGCAGTGGTCTAATTAACCTAAGCACTTCGCAAAGCACCTACGCTAATCACCTAATTAATCAATAAGCACTATGCAAATGGAGATCACTAAAATGGTGTATTAACACCCTTGCTATGCTTCCTCAGCTCTCCCCACCTCAAATGCTCACTTGGGTGGTCTATTTATAAGTCCCATGGAGAAAGTAGCCGTTTGGGATGAAATCCAGCTTTCTGCCATTGACTGGACGCGCAGGTCGTCCTAATCGAACGCGTCCGGTCACCTCTGCCGAGCTCGTTTCTTCGCGATCTTGCGTCCGGCTTGGTTCCTATCTTCGTGCTTGGACTTTGCTTGATATCTTGGGTCTTCTCTTGTGCTTCTAGGGTCTTGCTTATGGTGTTGATACTAGGATCATCATGTCGCCTTCGTCCAAGTCACGTCTTGCACCCTATTGAACTACAAAACAATTACTTGCAAATTCAATAGTCCAATTTGGTTGTGTTGATCATCAAACACCAAAATCAAAGTAAATGACCCTAGGGTCCATTTTCTCTACAGTATAGATGCAAAGATTTTGAAATGTGACAGTGCAACTAGGCCATATGCCTTGTAGGGAGGTCTCTCCTTCCTCCTGCTTCGGATTGAGAAAAGGAAATGGATATCTGAAAATTGTGGAGAGGGATGGGGCGGAGGATGGGAGCTCTAGGAGGTAAAGCCCGAGAAAGAAAGAAGAGAGCCAGCGCGTCTCTATACTCACTCCTATCACGCTAGGCGGCTTGGTGTGGCAGGAGCTGCGTCACACGGACAATAGCCCTAGTATCGTTTAACTGCCACGATGGCAGTTCAGGTGTGACAGTGATGTTTAGCCGCAAAAACATATGTCGTAGCCAAAAAATTAGTTTTTTTTTTCTAAAAACATATGAGAATAAAAATAAAGTATCTTCTGACAAAAGATTAAAAATAGGAATAGCCTACTCCTACATACTTCCTCTTTATGAAAAGAGTGCATATCGCCTTCTAATAAGCAAATTAATTTGAAGTTCAACTATGTTTATATAAAAGTTAGTATCAATATAAATGTTTCAAAAAATATAAATGTTTCAAAATAGATTTATTGTAAAAATATTGCATTAATCTAATAGCAATTATTCAGCTTATAAATATTAATACTTTCCAAAAAAAATGGTGAAATTTGAAATTAGTTAACTTATTGAAAAGCGAAAGCGAAATGTGCACATTTTTTAGACAAAAAAGGGAGCAACCGACCAGATAATTCCTTCAAGATGGGACGACAAGGCAAACAAAAAAAATCGCCACTCATTTGTTTGTGACATTTTCATTCAAGCCAAACCACCTTGGATGTGACATGCTCATTGTCAGTATTCCTATTAATGCAGGCTGCAATAATCCGTCTTTGGCAAGCAATTTCAGTAATGTACATGTTCTACAAACTCGTTTTTATTACCGACCAAGAAAAAAGAGAATTCTGGACTAGCTTCAACAAATTGGCTCGTTGAACATACTACAAAAATGGTGATTTGTCTCACAGATCTAGTCAAAACATAACCTACGATATGATGTATGCTTATCCAACCAAAAAAGGGCAGTAGTCATTGATGCGTGCAGCCAGCATCCTCAGTTTATTAGCTAGATTTCTCCTCTGGCTCTTCTTCAGTTGGACCACCTTCAGTGACACCGACTTCAGCGGGGCGAAGAACACGATCATGTAACATGTAGCCAACCTGAAAAAAGAAAATCATAATTGTTATCTTTAGAAAGACTGCGAAACTAAGTATTGTTTCTTTGTATGGAGGGAAAAGGCTCGTGCATCTAGTAGATCTCAAAAGTCAAAACCCTACTTCACAGAATTCTTAAATATTTTGAGGGCTGTTATCCAAATGTCTCTGGAACAGTTGCGGATTGCATCTGTTCTCAAGAGTGATCCAAATACTGCCTCTATGAAATTAAGAGGTACATTTCGTTTCATTACAGTAAGCCTTTGACCAAATGTTTCTTTATTAATTAATACATGTTTTTTTTGTAATGCAAAATTAATGTCATTAGATTCATGATAAAAATTACTTGTTTTGATTTTGTGTCACATAAATGACATTAATGAGTAAATGTTGATCAAAGTCTTGTCCTGACAAAAAGAAATATGCCTTCTAATTTAAAAACGGACAGAGTATCTATCTATTGGCCAATTCAATGGCCTATATAAGGCTGCATAGGGCCCTTAGGGCTTGAACCTTCACATGAATCCACTATTCCCAAATTTTTCCACAAAAATATCTAATCTCTTTGCACACCTGAATGCTATAACATCCAAGCTATTCCTAGCAATGCATTGGGAGTTAGTAGTTTCTAACACCTAATGACGGTATGCCATCACTTACCTCTGTATCTTTTTTTTTATAGGACTTACCTCTGTATCTAGTTTTGACGAAAATATGTGAAGCTTTCCTTGATACTTCTCACCTTCATCTTACCTTATATGTTATAAACATAAAAGACTCTTCCTTGCTGAGTGCAGAGAAATCTATATATATTCTTTATAACACAACTAATTACAAAGCTATATATAGCTCTTAGAGCCCACTGAGTTTTCATGTGATCACAAAATTCTATGCTATTTGCTATTAACAATTTCAGATGCAACTTATTTTCTTGAACCCAATGCCCATGCTATTTGTCAGGTCAGCTTCATAATGTATTAGCAAATCAGATGGTCATATGTACATAGTTCTATCAAAGCCAAGGTTACAAAAGGCGCTAGGCGCTCTCTAGGCGGTGACCACACAGGACATGGATCAACACTTCCCAAGTTCCCGGTATGTGGGGCTAATACCTCTTCAGGGCGCTGGTTCAAGACGGGGAACGTGATCCAACTATTTTTGGGACAATAGTTTGGGACAATTAGTCCCGAAGAGAGATCGAAATGTCAAGATTTTGAGAAGCATATCTATATCTATACCTAATAATAATAATAAAGAGGCATGATTTCTTGCACACTTTTTTTCGTCCAACCTACCACTCGAGCGTTCGATAATAAGGAAGTTTCGATTTCCACCGTCCTCCTTCTGGTCTCTGTATCCATGTCAATATCCTCTACTTTTCAATCCAAATACGGTATCCATGTCCATATCCTCTACTACTCTTTCTTTTCGGGTCATATCACATCTTATATATAAGTACCAATTACAATGGAACCAAACACTGAACCAATCAATCAAATTACTCGAGCGAATCATATACTCCAAACAGCTGGACCCGTCATGGAATCAACCTCACCGGCCTCAAATCGAGCATGGCTGGGGCAGCGACGGCAAGCACGTCGCTGATGGAGAGTAGGCCGAACACGGCGCTGTACGTGACGGCGAGCACGGCGCCCATGGAGATCAGGCCGAACACGGCGCCATACGTGACGCAGGTGTAGAGCGCGACGGGCCAGGCGGGCGCCGCCCGAGATGGAGGCAGAGCCGCGGAGGAGGTGGTGTAGTGCCACTGTGCCAAGCGTGGAAGGACACGAGCAGGGGCCAGGCGGGCACCGCCCGAGGTGGAGGCGGAGCCACGAAGGAGTTGGCGTAGTGCCACTGTGCCAGGCTCAGCCGCCCCCGCCGCCGGATCCATGGATGGATGAGAAGCGAGGAGCAAAGCTCAACTGAGCAGCAGGGGATTCTCGGCATCAAATCAAGTTTGACGTGAGCAGCTTCTGTGAGGCGAGGCGAGTATCGGCAAGAGAAGCGAACGCCCCATGAAACTCGCTTTGTGGGATGAGGCCAGGCAAGCAGATGAAACGAGGCGAGAGGCGATGAAAGAACGCAGGCCGTCGTTCGAGCCTTCGAGGTGAGGAAACAAACAGATTTACAGCAACCACATAGCTTTTACGGAGAAAATAAAGATTAGAGCATGAACTTAGTTTGACCCCAATAAATACCATAACTTTGCACTACCTTTAAGTTTCTTTTTTTCGTTCCCGTTAGTAAAGTATGGGACAATTTTCCCTTTTTCTTTTCCTTCCCATGCATCCGTGAACGGAGTTCTTATTTCGTTTTTTTGTTTGTATCCCATAAATACTAAAGAAAAAACATAAAAGCAATAATAAAAGACCGTTGAAATTTTAACCTCCAAATTGCGACAAAAGTTTGATTAAGAACAAGACTTTTCTTATTAGAACATGGTCCAATCGATTACAACATGGTCCAATCGATGGTCAAATTAATTTAACTGTAAATTAAAATATTGGGTAATTTGTTGTCCAGTCCAGTCTAAATAAATACACCTCTACATGCATCAGTGCAATCCACGATGAGTGTTGCCACGTGGATAATAGAGAGATCTCATCATAATGACCATCGGACATACCAATACTTGACATATCAACAACTAACTTCTTGTCGATTGAAATAAAAAAAAAATTAAAATTGTAGATTTTTATAGATCCTCAAATATTGTCAATGTCATGATCATCGTAAAATAAATTGTAGTTTTTAAATTTTATAGAAGGATAATATATAAATAGTTATATAGCATTCTTGTTCACATTTTCCATGAATATTATAGCTTACTTTCTCAGCATTCTTATTCTCGTTTTCTATGAATATTCGATAGCTTATTTCGTCCTGTAGCAACGCACGGGCATATTTGCTAGTCAACATAAATACTACAAATTCATATTTGTATCTACATAACAATCAGCTACTACTTACGTGCTATGTGAAAATTTAAAAAGAAAAGGAAAGCAAAAGTAAATGAGAGATGGATAGATCTGTGCTTCTATTCAACGGCCCATATAGCCCACTTAAAGCACCGCCAGGCCACCACATCTATACCATAATCCAGTCGTTCTGTTGTTTCTCACGCAGAAACAGCCGCTGCCGTCTCTTCTTTCATTCTTCCCCTCCCTGTTTCGCTTCCACAACAAGATGCTTCCATTCTTCCCATCCCTGTTTTGCTTCCACAAGATGCAGCCACCGGCACCTCAAATCACTCACCTCTGGTAACCAACTCGCACCAGAAACCTCTGGTAATCACTCATCTCATCTATCTAGGCCTCTTAATTCCACTGGATTTGAAGTGGCTGCTGCTGCAAAGGGATTGTTTTTGTCTATCCAACTCCAGGCACCTCTGTTCTGTCAACCATAGGGATGCTGTCCCAACCACCATCCCAAGCATCGACCCATATGACGAACCACAATGATCCCACATCCAAGGTTATTAAGGCGGTAAGGCGAGCTACCCCCTTCCAGACGCCTAGGCGTTTAAGGCGTGAGGCGAGGTGACGCCACACAAACACCTTAGTATATAATGTCACTAGAATTTAGAAGCAAATTAAACTTTAATACCACCATTTCTTAGCATGTAATACCATAACAAGTAGTGCTACTACAGTACTAGTGCACAACATAAAGTAGCAAAATAGCAAATCTGAAATCTCTCGCCTCAATAGCAGCAGATTAGACTCTAATGACATAACAAAGCAGCAAGCCAGCAACGAATCCAGTATATATGCTCTGATCTAATTATCCAAGCAAAGGAAGGAGCAGACCACAGCAAAGAACAGAGGAACGAGGGGGAGCACAGAACAGAGGAACGAGGGGGAGCACAGACCAGGGGAACGAGGGGAAGAGAAAAGATGTACTTATGCTGTGAACCGCTGGCTCAGAGGCAGAGTAGAGGAAGGAGTTGAGGCCAAATAATGGGCGGATGTTGGAGTACTCACGAATCGAAGAGCAGAGGGGCGGGGGCACCGATTGAGGCGGGCAGGCGGTGGCTTCGAGGTTCTCCCGCTGCCCACTTCTCTCCCCCTCGCTCCTCTCTTTCCTTCACCCTCTACCCTCTCTCAAATCGCAAGGAATCCTGATGCGGCGCTTGCGGGAGAGGTATAGGCGCGCCGCGCGATTCCCTCCAGCACTCCTTTCCCGCGCACGCGATTCCCTCCCGCGCTCACTTTCCGTCGTGCGCGTTTCCCTCCCGCGCGCGACTCCTCTTTCGCGCTCGCACTGCCTTCTCCCGCGCGTGCGGCGTCCAGCCGACGCCTTGGCGACACCTTGGCGCCTGAGGAGACGCCATACAGGGCATGGTCGTGGCGAGCCCGACACCTCAGTTTGAAAACCGCCCAGACGGCTAGGCGACGCCTTAATAACCTTGCTCACATCCACAATCTGGGATTGACAACCACGGGACGCAGAGCATCATGTCGTACCGTGTTCCATGTGACATTGCTCTCACTCTCACACTTCCGAGTTCGGAGCTACAAAACTTTCATTGGCGCTGCACCGCTCACGTCATGACCTGGCCACTCAAGTCCATGCCCGTTGCAGCGCGCGTGCGGTCGCCTTCCACCTTCCTTAAACTCACAACAAGTGCACACGATAGCCACCCATTTTAGTTGAGTCAAAATCTCCTATTAATTTCCCATACGGGATTAATCCTTTAATGCATTAACATTTTTTGTGGGCCTTGGAATTTATTTGATTTAAGGTTGGGCAAGCCGAATTAAGGGCTTGTTTGGTTCATCTGGGGCTAGTTATTAGCTGGGGCTAAAAATTAGACCAAATTAGCTGGGATTGGCCAGCTAGTTGGCTAACCACTAGTTTGAGGTTTGACTCAAAAATCAGTTCACTGTCCACCAAATAGCCCCCTGTTTGGATGGCCAAGGGCTAAAATTTAGCTGGCCAAGAATTAGCCTTACGCATCCAAACAGGGCCTAAGTCCAATAAAAATAGATAGCTCAATTGGCACAAGAATCACGCAACAAATGGTACATCCCATTGCAACGAATGGCCATGTTTTCTATTAAACAAAAAGTACTATTAAGAAATGCATACCTTCACAACAGCAGCAACAGTCCCCGACGGTTTTGAAGGATCATGAATTTGGAAAAAGGCATAGTGCCTGTTTGGATCAAACTTCTCATTTAAAGGATCAAACTTTTCAACTCCAAACTTCTTGAAGACCTGCAAGTGCTTCTTATTAGAGTCAGATCTAGGGGGACAATAATATTTGCCCTCATGGCAGATGGAGCCAAACTGACAGAGAAAGAGATAGACAAAGGAGAAGAAGTGATATGCATGCATGTGAAATTCCAGGAAAGGTTTATCATGTTCAGAAGTAAAAGACAACATTTTCAGAATTATAGTACAACTGATGCAGGGGAATTTTGAGAAGAAATACCTCTCCAAGTTGCTTCTCAGTCATCTCAACACCCTCTAGTAGGGTTTTCAGTAGTGGTACAGCTTCATCAGAATTGTTAGATGAATCTATCTTTGAGAAACTTTCCTTGACAACTGATGACGCCCGAGACAAATTGTCTGCAACATCTAATAAGCTCTTGGAGAAGCTCTGTATATAGGAACCATCAACTATGAGCGAGTTTCCAGGGACAGCCAAATGATATAAATCCTTGTACAATAAAAACCTATGAATCAAGCTAGTAGATATGAAGCGCGAACCAAGAACCATCAAGTATGAGCAAGTTTCCAGGGACAGCTAAATGATATCAATCCTATGAAACGCAAACCTGTATGGCATGCTTCAAACTAGTAGATATGAAACGCGAACCTGTATGGCATACTTCTTGGTGTTCTCTGACTCACGCTTTGTTCTGGCAAGGACATTCTCCATCTCAGCATAGCTGCGTAGGACCTTATCCTTCATATCTTTAAACTCTTCATCTTTAGACTTCAGTGATTCGTCTTTCTCAAGAAGCAGCTTAACAAGGTCCACCTTTGATAGGTCTAGATCTTCTGAATCTGAATCAGAAAATGCAGTTCGTTTAGTAGTTCTCTTCCTGCTAGACTTGGATACAGAATCAAGTGAACCTGCTTCCTGTGCCTTCTCGGTTCCAGGCACATTATTGGCTTCACTTGAAGCTTCAGTACTCACTCCAACGCTTTTATTAACCCCATCATCTGTGTGTTTGTTTGTCTCCTTATCATCTTGATGGGGGGCTGAAGTTAAAAACCTAAACCTCTGAAATGCAGATGTCGAGTATGGAGCCAGCTGATTCAACAAAGGAATGACTTGCTTGTATAACAACTATGTAATAAGGTTATTATAACAATAAAAAAACAGAAAAATAAACGAGCAAACGAAACTATTTTTTTTTTTGAGATGATAAACGAAACTAAATATTGATCAGACACTGAAAACACATACCCACGCAGGTGTTATCCATGTCTACCTATGATATTTAAAGTGTGAAGTGAGAACCCGACAAAGCTTCCCCAATTTATTCAAATGATGTTGACCCTAAAAGCCACAACAAAATTTCATGATCAAAGTGAATTGCCCTACACACTAATCTCTATGAAAGAGTACAAAATCCACCTAAGGGAATCCCCCAACTCAGCAATAACCCTCAAGACGCACTACTCCTAAATAGTTCTACACAACCAGCAACATCCAAGGAAAAAAATTCTACAAGCAAGATGCGCTTCCGCTGCCCACGAGCCATGCACGGGGACTGGAACACCACCTTGATCGAAGCGCAGGGCTCCACCGCCGCCAGCACAATCGCCCCCAGGAGCGACGCCGCCTCCGGCCGGCGCCTCGCCACCCCCGCCAGCGCCACAGAGGCGACGCCCCGCTTGGAGATTCGCGCGAGGAGGCGCGCGGCCGCCGCCATCTTATTCGGCCGGAATCGAGGGGAAGAAAGAGAAATAAAACTAGTTTTGCGGAAAGAGGAAGCGGTGCAGGAAGGATCCGGTTCGCACCTTTGGGAGAGGGAATATTTGTGCGAAGACTGTCTAGGGTTAGAGAGAATCACGTATCTGGCGTTACACTAAATCAGTCATTCGTATTTGATATTTAAAAATTTAAATTTTCTAACGTGGCATCGAGTTGACTTTTTCTTCCGTAAATAGCACTGCTGTCCATTTGATAATCTATTCGTTGATCCTGTTGACCATGTTAGATTTCTTTCAGAAGTACTAAAATGCCCCTATGCTCGTGGCTTATCTCCTCCCGACGCGGACAGCGGACTCGCACAAACCTCCTCCCCTTGCGCACATGGCCCAGCTCATGGTGCAGGGTGTGCGGCGGAGTGGCCTTACGCACAGGCACTCCGACTAGGCCGCTGCGCGCGGTGGACATGGTGGGGCGGTGTCGGTGTTTTGTAAACCAGACTAGTAAATTTATACGATTGTCGCGCTGCTTTAGAAAGATGATGGTAGCATCCAAAAGACACAAGAATTTATATTAGTTCAGGCTATAGCCCTACGCCCAGTCTCAGAGATAATCGAGTGCGTGTTGCTTGCTTGAATGCTCTGAAGTTCTTATAATGAGGGTGCAAGAATGGTAGAAGAGTTAGGAGACGGAGCTAGAGCTAGGACATAGATTGCCCGAATGAGAGCTTCAAGAGTCCAGAGATGATGAAGATGGGGTGCCCTAGCTGCCCTTATATAGAGTCCGGGGTCAGGTCATGTGCAAAGAAGGAGGTTCTCCCGACCGAGGGGTCGTGAGGCTGAGGATGGGAACCTAGCTAACTTAGCTTGCAAGCAACGACGTCTTGTGGTGCACGTCTGGACGTGGTTGTTGTCATGGTCTTGTGTCCATGCCGCGGCATGGTGTGACGTGGTGCTACAGCGCTGTTCATAGCAGCACTGTGGGCACGTTGGTGTTTCACTAGCCGTCCTGCTCGATCGCGGTCTTCGTCGTGGCCTTCGTCATCGCTTCCTGATCTCCCGAGGGCATCGTATAGGAGTTGGTAGCCACCCCAGGTCGTTGGTCGTCTTGTTAGCTTGTGGAGTTGGGGGCCATGATCCCAGGCTCCGGTGTCATGGCCCCTGTTGGTTTGGATAGCCTCTAAGTCAAGGGCACCGTTGTGGATCCCATCCCGTAGTGGGTGGAGTCATACATACGTCTCGTTGGGCCGTATTTGGACGGTGGGTCACCGTACTGGCCGTCACCGCTTGTTGGTGTTGTCCTGTCTCTGCTGCGTGGCGCAGGGATGATGTTTGACCGGACCGAGATGACCATTGTCCCCTTGGTTCTTGCGGAGTTAGTGCGGCACGTCTGCTCCTGTCAGAGCAAGCGCGCTTAGCTAGACTAGATCTCTCCCTGTTCCTCCCAAGGGTCGGGGCGGTGGAGTGGTCATGAGTCCTTGTGCGGCGTGCGAGTAAGGTAGATGGAGGGGTCGTGGTGACCCCGGGTCTTAGTGTTTGGCCCGGTCCACTTGACTTGACTGGGCCTCGATCGTTTGGGCTTATACTAGCTGGCGTACCGTGGGCTGCCCAAGCGGCTATCTAATCGGTGCTTTGAGATACCCGGGGTATCATAACCCCAATAGTAGCCCCCGAGCATTTTTGCGATCATGAAATGATCGTGAAAGCACTGAGATGCGCGTGTGCTGAGTGTAGGTTCATAGTCGTGGCCTATCGGAGCTTCGTCGCTCAACCCCTTGTGGCTTGGCGCATTCAATGCAGTAGGTGGCAGTTACGTCCCACCCTGTTAGGGTGCCCTAACAATGCGATACGCGACTATTGAGCCCTGCCGTGTCAATGTGCTGCGCAACAGGGTTCATGACCTAGGCGGGGCCGAGCGGTCTCGTCGACGTTGTACCGGCTCCGCCTTTAGAAGGATTTTGATCTCCCTGACCTCTGACGGTTTATGAGTCTCCGGAGCTAGCCTTAGGTCTCGAATCTGGGGCGTAGGGAGGAGTTAGGTCATGGCTTGGCCTTGACCTCTTACGGGGTCATGAGGAACTGACTCTGTTTTTCCCTAACGTCCTTACTGACCTATAGAGGTCGTGTTGCCCTGTTACAGGTGGGTTTGGTTTCGCCCCATGCGGGGAGAGGCATGTCCACCGTAACAACGCAGTCGGAGCGGTGCGCCTCATCGGAGTCGATGGGTAATTTGAGTGAGACCCGATATCCTTCCCAATCGACGTCGAGTTTGGATGTGCCTCATCGAGAGATGTCTCATAAATCGTCGGCCGTCAAACCTATCGGTCCCCGACCGCCTCCATAGCGGTCAGAGGGCAAGATGCCTCCCCCGAGAGGGGGTCAACTCAGGTGACTTCGAAGCGGATGACTCAAACACATAGAGATGGTCGCATGGCTCCGCACCACCGATTAGAGCCGCAGGGTCCATCTTAACCTGCCCCTATCCCTTTGTGGCCTCAAGCCCTTAGAAGGGCTAGCCCAAGAGTGGGTTTCCTAAGCACGACGTGGGGTCATAGTTGCGGTGGGTTATTCTGCATGCGGTCTTAGGGGGCGGTTGGCCTCCCTGGTCACGCCGTGCCATAATGGCGCCCAGTCACAAGAAGTCATGCGCCGTGGGACGCGGGCGCGTAAATCGAATTGATATGGAAAGAGTAGGAATGTGCAAGGCTTACTTGGTTCGTGCCGCTACGTGGGCAGCCGTCGATCCGCCCTCCCTCCAATCGCTTTACCTGCTTTGCAAGATTCCCGAGGTGGTTAGTAAATGAGAGTGAGCACGCGTGCACCCATGGTAGCCACCGTGGCTGATCCCTGGGGCTATAAATTAAGAGAAGTGGTACGATGGGGGAATCATATGTTCTTTGGTGTTTGCCCTACCGCTTCTTCCTCCCTGCTTTCATGTGCTTGTAGCTTCCCTTCCCAGCTAAGACGATGGATCGCGGTAAGCATCCACAGGATGAGTTACCGAAGGTTGGTGGTCCTTCACGGCGTCTCCGAGCTCTGCTATGCGAACGGGGGTGAGTATTCAAACGATGCTTGAGTTTGAGGCTGACCTGTGTTGACCATGTGTGTTCCCAGGGGTGCCTCCCACGCCACGTCTAGAGGGGCCGCCAGCGCCACTCGTGTAGCAACCCCAACCACCAGGGGGTCAAGTTCATCATCCTCGTTGTCGTCTTCTTCGGATGATCGGCGTGAGTTCCATGAGCTCATCCGCGCAGCGGACAAGGCTCGCCAGCGCTACTCCGACGCCACCCACAAGGTGGGCTGGCTAGAGCGCTGCCTCGATGCCGTTAGGGTGGCCCTCGAGGCCTCAGAGAGGGAGACCACCGCCGCGCAGGTGGCGGCCGCCAACACCCAAAGTCCGCATCGTGGGTAAGGATGCTCTTCGTCTTGCTATCCTATTTGTCATTTGCCACCTCTGACGTTCTTGTTGTCTTGTTGCCAGCGTTGGAGGAGCAGTTGATGACCTCTCACCATGAGATAGAGGAGGCCTACCTCTAGGAGGTTCTCTTGATGGAGGACCACGAGCGCGTGGTGGTGGCCGGAGTTCGACAGGGAGCTGGCGTCGCCCTCGCCGTCATGCAGCTGCGCACCCATGGGGACTTCCGCCAGGTGACTTTACCACCACCACGACCGTCGTCATGGCCACCATGGACATGGAGGACATCCTCGCGATGGTGGCCAAGGGCCTTAGTTTGTACCTAGGGTCCTTTAATAAGGAAAATTTCTTAGTTTGTGTCTCTTGCTTCTTTTCTTTCGTGTGATACCGATTTGTTGTGCTTGTCGATGATCTAGTCATTCGAATGTCGTAGTAACATGACCTTGCCTGTGGATCGACCCATGGGGCTTGACCCAGTGCGACTCCATTTTCATGACCGAGGTGTCTGTAGGGTTGGTCCGACGGCATCGTGCCTTTCTTTATTCTCCTTTCTTTGGGTTGCAAGGACACTTCCCTTCCCTTGCTTTCGCACGGGTGTATGGCCTTACCTAGATCTAGTTCTAAGGATTCAACTTTGTGTGGCCCTTTGATGCGCATAAGTACACGATGTACTATAGTGCAATGCTCGCATGCAGGTTGCGTTAGCCGGTTTGCATCGATCGACGTTGGTTGTTCGAGAACGGTGTAGGGGCGAGATGGCGGACTAGGGGGTGCATAGTTGTCGATGAAATACGGCCAATAGTCTATCGAGGGGTATGCCCATGGTAATAGATGAATCAGTGGAGGTGCGCGAGATACGAACTAGATGGTAATACAAGCACCAAGACACAAGATTTAGACAGGTTCGACCATCAGTACGACGTAATACCTATATCCTGTGTTATGATGTATTGCATTGAGATATGTGGAGATGCCCACTAGGGGACCTCTACCACTCCTTATATACTCTGGAGGGGTAGGGTTATAAGAAAAATATCCTATTTGGTATTATACAATAAATCACATCTTCTTGTAGCCTTGCGGTGCACGCCTTGATCTTTTGGGCTGGGCCACCTTTGGGACGTGGCCTATGTCTTGTCTTGTGGGTACCGAGGGTATATCCCCCATAGCAAGTCCCTGAGCACCTTGTATCCTTTGAGCAATGCCATCTTGAGCTTGTCCGAGTTGTCCAACTTGCTGCTGATCACCAGAGACATGCTTTCGACCAGTTTAACTGGGAGCTGAGCTATTGAAACAAGCATCCGAGCTGTTAACCAGGCATCTGAGCAGTTGAAAACAGCGTCCGAGCAGTTGAAGCAGATGTCCGAGCAGTTCAACTGGGAGCTAGGCTCGGACTTACTCGAGTAAAGTTTGCCAAAAGGATGTAAGGGGCTCAACATAAAAATTGAAAATTCTCCACCTTAGGCAAAGTGTAGCCACTTAGACTCCTTACTCAATTAAGGAGGGTAAATCAGAAAAGCACTACATTCACCTCTAGGTGAAGTGTAAGCCACTTATTCCCCAAGCCTGCTGGAAGATGAAAAAGTG